CTTGGATTGCAAGCATAATTCATTCCGGAAACATGCTTGTAATCCAAAGCACTTGTATATCAAAGTGAATTTCCCCATAAGGTTCCATGTAAATAAGGTTAATCCGTTCTGTAACTATTTTTTTATCACAAAAATTTGAAGCAGGCGTACTGGGTGGTGGGGAGACGATGCTGTACTCACCCACAGCGAGAGAGAGAAGAACCGGCGCTCAGTTGTGACATGACGCTCGACAGGCAAAGTGCACATAATACTCATACTGCAAGACTTCACTCATTTATCAAGTTAAAATTTAGAAAAAAAATTGCTCATCTTGCAAAACACTCACAAACTAAGTTATTCGCAATCCAAGGTTTTACTGTATTTTACACCAAAAAGAAAAACTTGGCAACTTTAACAGCAAATATTACTTTCTTCCTCCTTTTTAATGAAGGTCAACAACTTCAACTTAATAGTTTATCATCACCAAGAAATTCATAGCATTAACTCCTTAAGCATGGCAGAGTAAATGACTTTATAACTTATTTAAAGTCTGAATATAATTCAGCCAACTGTTAACAAGCTTCCAGTTCAGTCTTCATTTAGTAATTGTAACAGAGGAGGCCTTGTGTGGAGGAGAGAGAGAGATAAGGGTTAAAGGTGGAGGTATATCAGGCTGACACAGGTGGCCTTCAACAGCTGCAGGTCTGGAGTTTGTCAGGTGTAGATAACAACCTCAGCCAGGAGGCTCCTGGAAGTTAGCAGGTCAGTGATTCTCTTTGATGTCACCTCTGGGAACAAAGGAGCCTGGTTGCTCAGGGAGGGGATAAAAAGGAGGGACAGTGGTGAAATGGGCACCTTTCTGAGATGGGAAGAAGAGGTTTGCCATTGGATGCCGAAGCCTGCTACTCTTGAGTAGACCGATAAGTACTGGGAAAGTTGTTAGGGTTTTAGATTAGCTAGCTGTTCTTGTTTCAGTCCCTGGGGTGGCCAAATGATGTAAGAGGTTTGAATACTTGCTATTGTAATGCTTAACTGGAAGCTGTTATCCACTTTCCCCTTTTTCCTTTCCCATACCCTTAACCCTTTGTGTAAATTGTAACTGTGTGTGTTGTTGTGTGGATGTACTGTTGAATGTTGTGTAATAAAACTCCCTTTCCCCAAGATTTGGTCACTGTGTGCTAATCCAGTGCGGCTTGGCTTCTTAGGAAGCGAACTTGGGCTATTTGGGCCCTAGTGGCTGTTGAGAGGGGAGAACTCGCAGTGGCGTCGTTGGGGGGTGTTTTGCCCAACCATTACGGTAATTATTCCATTTCAGTGAGTTAAAGAAAAATTACTTCTTCAGTGTCTCACTTTCACAAAGTTTAGTAGTCTTTTAGTATTAAAAAAAGACCAAGAGATGGTTTTTGGACTCAAGGAGTCTAGCTTATCTTGTTGTCTTGGAGCATGCCAATTCCTTTTCAAATGAGTCTGCCGTAGTTCGGTTATCAAAGTAGTCTCCATATGGAGAGGTGGCAGAGATGAATATCTCTTTTCACCTGGCTTTTCCAGAGCTCTCCAGTAAGATAGCAGAGCATTTGATAAGTACTGCTTAACAAATTGCCATCTTTCCCGGAACTCCAAGGATAGAGCATGTATTTTATCAGTTTGTATGATTGTTTTTTTATTATTATATTGCTTGCTGCTCAATATGATTGATTAGTGCTTCCTCTTTGTATGTCTCTAGGATCCAAGGGATGTGCTGGCCACTGAGCGAAGAAGGGCTTGGTGTTGGTGTATATGTTTTGGATTACTTTTTCTGCTTGCTATTGTGATACTTGGTGTTGCCTATTTTTACAAGTATTTTGGATTCCAGGTAAGTTGAATATATTGTTTTCATGAGTAAATACTTTAATTATGTTGTAGATACTATTTTTACAGTTTGCTAAGAATTAGCCAACTTTTACTCTTTACATGAAAACAAATAGAAACATCTATCTGGATGATAGATGGTAAAGCAATTGCAAAACAAATATATTTTGGTTTAAGCTGATAATGGGACAAATTTCTATTGTGGAAATTGAAAGCCAGAATAATGTTAGAAGTTTCTACATTTCCTACTTAGCTTTTCAACTGGCAGAAAAAAATGTTCATCTGTTTCTTATTCATTAATTAGATGAGTATTTTCTCTAACAGTTTAAGTATAAAGGTGTGTCACCTATCTAGCAGTAATTCAAACATTCCAAAAACGTTTTTAGTTTAAATAAAAAGGCTTGTTTATGCAGTCAAAAATAGAAACCCCTTGGCATTGTTGACCAAAATCTGAGAGTCTGCTATACTAGAAAAAAATGTGGAGAGAAAATATCAAAGTATTTTGACGATACTTCAGTAGCCACTTAGAGCTGATTCACAGACTATTTTAAAATTTTGGATAAAAAATGTGCATGCATTTTAGAGGGAAAACTGCATGTATGGTTACTGACCAACCAAAAACAAGTCCCCAGGAGTCTTGTCCCAGACTTAGTAGTGTGTCTCTGAAACTCACCAGAATCTTCAACCAAAATCTCCTGCTCTTCTGTTCAAGTCTAAGCTTAGAGTTGTGGAGACAGGGACAGAAAACACAGAAACATAGAGAGTCAGAAGGGGCCTCCCAGGCTCCGCTGGCTCCAGTCTGTCCCCTGGCTCCAGCTGGCTCCGCTCACGACATGCCCACCATGGGCATGTCTAGCCTGTCTTTGAACACCCTCACCCCTCACCGATGGGGCCTCAACGACCTCTCGTGGAAGCCCATTCCACACCCTCGGGGTCCTAACTGTCAGGAAGTGCT